CGCTGCTTCCCCTCGCGGAGCAGCAAAGCTGCGCTCCGACGGACAGATGTGTCGGAGGGGCCTGATGGTTCCCAGGCCTCCCGGGCCGGCCCGCTGCCCCGGCGGGGTCGGAGCGACTCTTGCCAGCCCTCCGGAGAGGAGGCGCTTCCCGCGGAGCTGGAAGAGATGGGCTGGCTGGAGGGCGAGGGCAGATGTCCTGGGGGAGGGAAATCTGTGCTCTGCCCAGCGCCTGGCATCCTGTGTGATCCCGGGCCAGGATTTTGAAAGGCTAAGTCGCTCTGATTTGATCCTGTTAATACACGGATAAGTGGACCCGTTGCTCGTGCTCGCGTTAGCTGTCAGTGCTGCAGCTGCCCTGCAGCGGTTTGGTTTTGCAGGGACCCATCCACAGCTCTGTATGTGGCTGGAGGTGAAGGCTGTGCCTCATCCTCACCCGCCTGGGGCTTGGCACCTTGGCGCCTGGAGCAGGGTGGGAAGCAGCTCCTCCTGGCACCGGGGTGTTCGGATGGGATCTGCCAGCAGTTCCTTGCATTTCTTCCCTCCTGCTCCTCAAGCTTAGCCTTTAGTTTCCATAGAGATGTTTTCTGTATGGAGTGAGGTGCGTGTTAGGCTTCTGGGCATCTCTTCCTTTAAGGAGATCTAGCTGGAAAGGTGAAAAGAGGCTGCGTGAGTCATTCTTGTCCATTTGGCCCTGAGCCAGGACATCATCTCACAGCTGCTGGCCCTCAGCTGCTGATCTTGGATGGGAACATCCATCAGTAGCCTGGGTGCTTCCTTCAGCAGCGTGTTGTGTCCCCTCTGATAACTCCAGCTCAGAGCCGGCAAGCAGAAGCTCTGACACTGTAACCCACTGGGTTTCCTTAGAAAGATCCCTGGCTTTGGGGATTTTGAAGATTTTATTCTTAGGTAGCTTGTCATACTGGGGGAGTTCTCGGTGCTGAAGGGGACGCAGAGCTGTGGGACCTCTGCAATGAAGAGTTGGAACAGTATTGAGTGTCATTTGACTTCATTTGAACGTTTCCCTGCTGTGCAGCGGTGACCTGTGCTTCCAGGTGGCTCACTGCAGCGTGTGGTCTAAGTGATTGAGAGAAGTCCTGTCAGATCCTGCATGATGCTGGATCTTGATGAAAGCAGGGGTCTCTGCTGCCTCTTTCCAAGTATAAATTGGAAAATTTGTTCTCCTGAATCTCAGTGCTAATTGAGTGATGTTGCATGTGTCAATCTTGCTGCTTAACTTTACAGGGATGATGATATTTGCATTTGGGGATGTTCCTAAGGCCTCCCAGTTGGCCCCTTCCATATATTGGGGACATCATGTTTTTAAAGCATATGAATATTTGGCTAAGATGTTCTCTGGGGTTGTTTTTAAGTATATGAGCTTCAGTGTCTATCACCTTTGTTTTATTTTTTTTTTGCTGTTGTGCTTGTACGGATTTGCTGTGCTGAGGTTGTTTTCACATTCTGGACTTGGGCTCTGCTGGCAGCGATCCCCGGGAAGCCTGTGTTTATGTGTACATCCTTTTAGGTTTGAGAGGGAAAGTCTGGTGCTTGGAGCAGGACTTTGCTGTAGGCAGGGACTTCCTCTGAGTGGGGAGAGGCTGATGCACGTTTGAACACGGGTGGGGTGTGAGCAGTATGAAGGGCAGGATGGAGGTTCGTGCCCTGGGTTATGGGGTTTAAAGCTTCCCTGAAGAGACAGAGCCTGACCTCTCATTTCCCACATACATTAAATGATGTTACTAACCCACGTGCGACAGAAGGGAAGAGAAGCAATGGGGTTATGAGACTCGGGGAATATCTGTGTCTTTTGAGATGTGAAGATGGATGATAACTAAATTCCAAATTCTGTTTACTATCTTTCAGCTCTGAAAAGATCTTTTGAGGTCGAGGAGGTAGATCAGTCTTCAAATTCCTCCACCCCACAAAGACGGACCCCAAACCCTCTCCTCAGATCCACTGTGTCCAGCTCCACACAGAAGTTTCAGGAACTCGGTGCCAGGAATTCAGAGCCATCTGCCAGGCATGCAGACCCCACAAGCCAAAGATCACCCAAGCCCTCTCTGAGGAGAGTGGAGCTCTCTGGACCCAAACTGCCCGAGCCGGTGTCCAGAAGAACAGAAATCTCCATTGACATCTCATCCAAGCAAGTGGAGAACTCCACCTCAGGGTTGTCAAGGTTTGGCCTCAAAAGAGCAGATGTGCTGGGGCACAAACCTCCTGAGCCCAGCCCGAGAAGGACTGAGATCACGCTAGGCAAGCCCCAGGAGCCGGGTCTGCGGAGGGTGGAAGCGCCCGTGTCAAAGATCCCAGAGATGCCCCAGCGGAGAGCGGAGGCAGCCGGTGCTCCTGGGCCCGATCTGGCCACCAAGCGAGTGGAAATTCAGGTAGCGAAGGCTGCCGAGGTCCCGGCCCCGCCGCTCCGACAGGGGGAGAGTCTGGAACCTTCTCTAAGCAGCCAGCCTTCCGCGGCAGAAGCAAAGCCTGCACCTGTGGTGATCGAAAGCCCACCAAAGAGAGAAGAAGGTGAGTAAATCTCTGTGTAGCTGCTTGGGTAACGCGCTGGCTGATACCTCCCTTTGTTGGTTGATAAGATAAGAGGTTTTGCAAGGGCTTCGAGAGGCATTTGCCACTAATAGTTACTCTTCTGGCTTCAGTGGTGGTGTCTTATAGTGCTGGCACTGCAGAGTCTTAGATATGTGCTCAGGGGCGTCTAAATACATGTCTCTCATGCTTGGTTTTATGCTGGCTGAAAGCGCTGCCAGTTTGAATAAAAATGGTACCAGGCCTATAAGAAATAGAAGGAGGAAAAGGCAGAAGCCTGGGTGCTTACGGAAGAAGACGTTTCTGCCCTTTCTATTTCCGTGTTCAGACTCATCTGCCTGTATCGTATCTCCTGAAAAGCTTCGGACTTGTGAGGAGGTGTGGTTGTTGCAAAACCTGTAGAAATGCTGTTGCGAGTGTTTCTTGGTTTATGTTGTTGCTTATGCTTGTGGGGCAGAAGCAGCCTCTTCATAAACCAGAGTCAGATTTTTTTTTTTCCTTCTGATCCCAGAGACAAAGACTGAAAACATCATGGACAAGAGCCACTATTAAACTGGAGCCCTGGCTTATGTTAGCTCTATCTTGTTTTCGATTAATCCTGTATTAGGCAGTAAAGCCAGCTTCCCTCCCCCACCGGCCATCATTTATTTTCCCTAGCATTTTAGAAACTTTTCTCTTCTAGCTCTTTGATTATTTTTCCATTCCCCGTCACGGAGTGGCTCTCCGCTCTGTGAGGCTCGGTGTTCATGCGGAGGCCGCAGGCTCTGCGCATGCACCGTGCGTTTGTCTAGGGGTGGACGCCTGCTCCTGAGCCCTGACACGTGGAGTTACACAGCCCTCCCTGCCCTCTCCAGCCTGCACATCTCTGGGCCAGACAAGAGTTAACCAGACTTTGTTACAAGGCAATGGGGTCTTTGAAGCTCTTCTATCCAGCGGCTGGGTTAGGTCTGGTAGTAGTTGAAGGCGGCTGATGCTAAAGGCAGCTTTTCCTCTACTCTGTCCGTTACATCAACTTTTCTGGACCTAAAGCTTGCTCTGTGCAAGAAGCATCTCATCACTGAATCTCGAGGACTTCCCTGCCCAGAGCCAGGGGATGGAGCCATTGGGGAGCTGCCAGTGGAGGCTGCTCAAAGCTCTGCTTTGGGGCCAGCTCAGAGCCAGGCTCAGGCCATTAGGCAGCTGCTCCTCCCACTCAGGACTGGTTCTCACCCTGGCTGGTTGGTCAACACCATCTTGTTGCTGTTACACCCATCTGTGGAGACAGCGCCAAGGCCTGGGATCAGGTTGGTCGGGATGGAGCCATTGGGGAGCTGCCAGTGGAGGCTGCTCAAAGCTCTGCTTTGGGGCCAGCTCAGAGCCAGGCTCAGGCCATTAGGCAGCTGCTCCTCCCACTCAGGACTGGTTCTCACCCTGGCTGGTTGGTCAACACCATCTTGTTGCTGTTACACCCATCTGTGGAGACAGCGCCAAGGCCTGGGATCAGGTTGGTCTTCCACGGAAGCAGGCTGCCACGGTGCTGTGTAGCTGTGTGCCTGGACCCCGTCGGCAGCGAGCTGGGATGCTGCTCTGCTCTGCCTGGTCTGGGCCGGGACAGCGGTCGTGCAGCACCTGCAGTCACCGAGACACAAGGCCTCCAAAGAGCCTGTGTTTTGTTTTATGTATTCTGTGTAGAATCAAATCAAGTATCAGTGATAGAACTAATACTAGACTTCTAGGAGTAGCAGTGTGGCCTAGGTATGGCCTTTCTGAGTTGTATTTTAAAGCATGGAGAGAAGTCTCCACCAGGCAGCGGGTTGGTTTAGCTCTGTCGGGGCATGGCTGAGATCTAAAAGCCAATGCAACAAGGTATGGGGCGTTCCAGCTGCACCCCCTTTGTAAGCTCCCTGTCCCCAGATGAATTGTGAATAACATCCAGCTTCTCTCTTGAGTGTGTGCTTGGTCTCGCGCTGCTGCGTTGTGGCTGCCATGCTGAGCTCGGAGCCACTCGTGGTTGGGCGCTCTGTGGAGAACAGAAGACCATCCAAGCGGCCGAATCCCAGGACAGCTGCCCATGGTGGGAAAGAGGGGGTCTCAGAATGAAAAAGGGCTCCAGAATGCCGGACAGCTGCCAGGGATGAGTTTTGCTGAACAGCCCAGCTGTCTGGAGTCCGCCTTACAAAGCAAGGCAGCCGTGCTCCTCGCTGCCGCTACAAAGGGCGCTTTCAGTTGAAATGTGTCCAAAAAGAGCCAGGAAACAGAGCTGAAAGGATCAGAAGGCCTTGGGCTCTTTAGTTCTCCTCCTCAGCCTGATGAATAGCCCAGGGTTGTGCTAAGAGCCTGTGTCCCTTCTACCCAGACATCTCAATCCTCTTCCATCTCTACTCTCGCGTGAGATCCCATTTCTGGCTGTTCCTCTCTAAGATCTGCAACTGCTCCAATTCCCCCTGCCAGATGCTTGAGGGGTGTCTCACTGCGTGGCTGGCCCAGGCATGGACAGGAGTGCAGGGAGGACAGAGCTCAGTTCAGCGGCTTGTGCAGGTCCTGCCCGGGCGAGCGTGCCGGGGGCCAGGGGTGGCTCGGCGTGGCAGGAGGTGCAGCCTCAGCAAGGTGTCCTGGGCGTCCTCCCTATCTGGGAACCACACTGAGTGAGATGCTCTTCAGCAGTAGTCCTGAGACGGAGGGAAGTGCCTGATGCTTGTGGAAACAAAGCAAAGAAGATCCTCAAGATCCCGAAGTGATAGCTGGTGAGAACCTCTTCCCTGGGGAAAGGGTGAAGGCAGTGGGGAGGCCTCCTCTCCTCTGTGTTTGAGGAGAGATCCTCAAGCTGGTGTTTTATTTGCAAGAGGAGGAAGTAGTCGTAAAGCTGCATATGGCCCTTATCGTGGGACTGCGCAAAATAGCCCATGGGAAAAACGAGCTCTTCCCATCCCTCCAGGAATGGTAGCATGGGAGGATTTATGCCAGAGGTGAACTCTCTTGGTGACTTTGAAGGAACTTTGATTTGGAGCCTGATGACAGCTCGGTGACTCGGTTCCTTCCAGCCCCAGGGAGGCGCCGCTTGGGGAGAGCAGCCTGGGGCAAATGCCCAGGCGCACGGCACCGGCTCCGCTGGATACCAGGCAGCTGCTGCAGGTGACTCGATGTCACTCTGCGGTTGTCCTGCATTTCTGGCCTTGTGGCAACCCCCAAAAATGAAAAACTCTGCTCCGAGTCATGCGGCAGAGGCAACATGGAACCTGCAGTCTTGCTTCGTCTTGCGGCCAAGTGCTGCCAGGGTTTGGGCAGCGTGGATGCTCACATGGTGCTGGAAACTCCTTGCTGCTGTGGCCTTTGCCCCTCTCCAGCAAAAACAGCTGAGTGAGGGAAGCAATTCTGGACTCCTCGGTGCCTCCAGCCCCTGCTGGGACTTGCCTTTATTCCCCCGGAGCTCCAGCTGCTGGTGGCTGGGCTGTACTCCCTTGCTGCTAACCCCTTGTCCCAGGCAGGCCGCCTTGGCTGCAGGTATGCAGGAAAGCGTGTTGTGCAGGAAGGGGCCAGCTGGAGGAGAAGGGCAGTCACGGCGAACTCAGCAGTTCAGAGCAAACCACAAAGGAAAGGAGTAATCACAGCACGCAGCTTCATTAGGGCCGCTGTGGCTGGTTGCTCAGGCTGAGATCGCTCTGGAGCAGTGGTTCTCAAGGTGGGAGGAGTTCAGAAGGTATCTTGGTGGGGCACAACACTAAGGAAAATTCCTTCCTGGCTCTGTTTTCCCTTTCCATCTCCTTCCCATGCTCTGCTGCACATCTTGAGGACATTTTCGACGCTCCTGCAGTTGTGCAAAGGGGTTTAGCAGTGAGTTAGAGCTCTGGAGGTAGGAAGGTAGGAGACAAAGTAGGGGAGGGGAGAGAAGGTTGGGCAGGAGAGGACAAGGAAACAGGCAAAAACCCTGGGAGAAGGAAGAATCGATGGAGGCAGCGATACATGGTGCTGGATAACAAGGATAGGGCTTGCTGTATCTGGTGTTCAAGGCCATAGCACAGGGAAGCTAGAAGTCGGGACGGAAGTTGTGGGGCTGGAGGTGGCCTGCCTGGGGCAGAGACACTTTGCTGAACAAGAACTGGGGTGAGGCAACAGATGATGTGGTCTGTTATGTCAAAGTGGAACAGAGAAATACACAGCAGGTATATGCATTACACAGGCAAAGAATGGATAAAGGGGGACAAGATGCTCAAGAAATTTAGAAAAAAAAAAAGGAAAAAAAAAAAAGAAAGAAAGGGTGAGGGGAATGGCTGAGAACCTGCTGCTTCAGAGACCACAGGGTGGTGCCAGATGTGGGCAGACTGAAGGACTTCACCCAAAGAGTAATATTCAAATACAAGAGTTGCCTATAGTTAGGCAGCTCTTACCTAGCTGGGTTACAATTATAATGAGTTACAGCAGAGTTACCTACACCTTCCTTTTACCCCCCTGCACACTGTTCTGCGCTGACTTACTCCCTCAGCAGCCCTGCAGTGTGAGGTTCCCTCCAGGCTTGGCTCCCCCACAACAGTGAGCAGGTGTGCAGGCTTCTCCGTCCTTTTCTTTCCTAATGTCGTCTCAGTGTGATGCTACCCTGACCTCATGGATTCATCACATGGGAAGAGAGCGGGGGGTCGCTCCTCAGCAGCTTCGTTCCTGGGTCGTGCTGCGAGTGCCCGATCACAACCTCGGTGGCGCAGCTTGCAGGTAGCTGCCGGGCCCGGAGTGCTGCCCAGGGAGGCGCTGTTGGCTCGGGCTCTGTTCCTGCTGGGGACCGGCCTCCTGTGGCTCTCCAGGACAGGTCTGAGCATGGCGTGGAGTGGCCCACGCTAGCCTGGCTGAACCTGGTTCGTCCACGCAGTGCTGAGCAATGCTCTGCAGAGCCGGTCACGCCAGGGGTGGATGGGGAGGGAGTGGAGCTAGCATGGAGCTGCCTGGAGCGGCATCCTTGCAGGCGTTATGTATACTGATGAGCGCGGGGCTTGGTGGGACAGGTGGGGACTGGA